TAAATGTTGTGCGTGTTGTTCTTTGTCCTTAGAGAAAACTAAAATGTCGTCAACGTAAGGAAAAACAAAGTCCAGTCCATGAGTTACCTCGTCTATAAATCTCTGGAACGTCTGACCTGCGTTTCGTAATCCGAAGCTCATAAACGGAAATTCATAAAGACCGAAGGGTGTTGTTATCGCAGTCTTGCAGATGTCGTCAGGATGGACTGGGATTTGCTGGTAGGCCTTGACGAGATCTACTGTACTAAAAACTGTTGAACCTGCTAAATTGTACGAAAAATCGGCAATGTGCCTTACAGGATACCGATCTGGAACAGTGCGTGCATTCAATGCCCTGTAATCACCACAAGGTCTCCAGGATGCATCTTTCTTTGGTGCCATGTGGAGTGGGGACGACCAAGCACTTTTTGATGGTCGGGTTATCCCAGCTTGCATCATTTCTGCGAACACTTTCTGAGCTGCACGAAGTTTTTGTGGTGCTAGGCGTCTTGGTTTGGATGATACAGGTGGACCATCTGTGGTTTTTATATAATGAACTGTATTATGTTTGATTTCTGTTTGTAGCCCAGGTGGTTTGATAATTTCAGGAAATTCTGAAATAATTTTAGAAAACGGACACTTTTCATCATTACTCACTAATTTTATACTTGATTGGGCATTGGTCAATATTTCTCCCGAAGAAGTGAGACCAGTATGTCCATCACGTAACAGCTTTTTATTGCAGTCTGGCAGTAAGTTATAGTGGGCTAGAAAATCTGCTCCTATGATTGGTAAGCTTACATCACAAATAACAAAGTTCCATCTGAAATCTCTTCGCAAGCCAAGGTCTAATGTCATAGGAATCAGTCCATAAGTCGGAATAACAGAGCCATTTGCTGCTCGAAGATTGTATTGCAAAGATTTAGGTTGCCCTATGACAAACTTATGTGGAAAACAGCACAAGTCCGAGCCAGTGTCCACTAGGAATCGGCGCTTGGTGTTCCTATCCTGGATGAAGAGGCGACTAGATAGGGAGTGGCAGTCGGTTGTCGCCATTACTGGCTGCCCTGGTTGTTTCCCGACTTCCAAGTGCAAGGTGTTATGCATTTTTTTGCATTAGCCTGGAATTTCCTGTGATAGTAACATAATTTTCCAAAACTGGGGCTTTGTGGACGTTGTGTATGTCTGTGCATGCTCCTTGAGCGTGACCTCATTCTAAATTTTGCTGCAGCAGTCAATGCAGCAACTTGCTGAGTAAGTTCTTCCATGCGTTTATTTAATGATTCGAAGTCAGGGTTAATAGGTGCTGCAGTAACAGTAGTTGCTACCACTGACGGTGTGTGTTGAACCAATGTTATGTCCACGATTCTATCAGCAAGATCGGCAAGTTTATCCAAGGTAAGGTCAGCTTGTGCAGCTAAAATTGCTTGGACTTGATGTGGTAGTCGCCTTATCCACAATTGTTTTATAATGCCATCATCTTTGATATTAATCCCAGCCAATGATCTTAGATGCCTTAAAAATTGGCTTGGTTTTCGCTCGCCCAATTCTTCATTTCCTAATAACTGGCTAAGTCTATTTTCTTCAGATTGTGAAAGTCTTCTTATTAATTCATTTTTTAAAAAATTATATCTATCTTCTTTAGGTGGATTTGTAATTATATCTTCTACATCACCAGCTTGCTCTTGAGACAGCTGTCCAACAACATAATTGTATTTTGTATAATCAGCTGTAATACCTGCAATATCAAAATTAGCCTCTACCTGAGCGAACCATACAGCGGGACGATGCGGCCAGAAGGGTGGAAGCTTAACAGAAACTTTACAAATCTCTGAAGGGGTGGGTGGTGCAGCTTTACATTCCTCAGTACTCATTATGTTATTTTAAACTTAAATTTAAAAGATTAATAAAATCTCACCAAAAAAAAAATAACAAAAAAATATATATATTATATTCTACTTACAAGGATTTTCCTTTTTAATATTTCTAATGATAATGGTTTTAGTTACACTAAAAATAATAGGTTTTTAATTTATAAAAGGTTATTAACAAAGGTTATTACTTTTATAAACTTTAGTGTCACAACAATAAAAAAATATATGTATTTGAAATGAATTATATCATATTATAGTTTACAAAACAATAAGTATTAAGTTAATGTACTGTTTTCAATCATATTTGTATTACTTTACTTTATTTTATATACTTAACTTTAAAGAATATCAAGTAGTTTAGTTTTATATTAGTTATAATAATTTAAGAAAAGTGAAAACCAAAGTAACATGTAGCATTCAAGTTAAAGAAAGAAAAAAAAAATAAAACATACCATAATATCTGTTTTAACATAAAAGCATGCCATGCATTGAGAATGAAGCACTAAAATTTAATAAGATTCACTAGAGTCCATTTTACCAGCGAGTCTTAACTTGTATTTAATAACTATTATTCTAGAACTTTTGGAGTCCCATTTTTTTTTTCAAAGGAAAAAGAAAAGTCGTTAAAGACATAGGCAAGCACAGAAACACAAATTGCACCATGCACTATTGCTTGAAATACAGGAACTGGAACTGGTGTCCTGGTAGCAGGCAGCGTGGGGCACTCGGAAGGGTGCTCACAGCTATCGTAGTACACCACGTAATCCCTCCAGTGTATAGGGCGGAGTCCTAAGTCCTGACGCGTAGTCTGATCTGGGTTGCGACGCGTGATCTCACGCGTTCTCGATGTGAGCGGATTGCGAAGCCAAAGCGTGCGTAAGCGTGGAAGGACTTTATTCCAAAACAAAATGGCGATGGCGTCGGTGCCACCTTTGCGAACAACTACGCAGATTGCACCCTGTTGAATCCCGTCGATCACGTCGGGGTCACCAATGTCGCGATTGGAGACAAATAAAAAACTGAATGTTGTAACTGTTGGGAACACTAGTTTATTGTATAGATATGGATGGTTGTTAGTTAACCTGAGATATATAATTTTAAGCAATCGTCTTAGCGACGGCCAGGAGAGCGTCTGTGTTGCCATGATGGCGGAAACGGTACAGATTTACACAGATTATAAAACCATATAAATTAAGTGAGTGACGTTCGAAAACTTATGAAATCTAAATTATTTTATATTACATAAATTATTATTATGTTAATATTGTATATTAATAATAATTATACGCTACATGGTTATAAATATAATAATGGCAACACTAAATTTAGATTACTAATTAATATTTTAAAATTGTAATAATTATAAAAATAATAGCAAAAATTAAATAAATAATTTTCCATATTCAATTATAATTAAACTTATAAAAATGTTTAAAGTTAAAAAATATTGTAATGTAATTGGTGCAATTTTCATTTTGTTAATTGTAGGTAGGCTGTCTGTAACAACTATACAATCTAGACATGTAACACCTCAGTCTCTCCCGTGACCATGGATGCTGTAAAGCATTCGAAACGTCGGGAAACAAAAGTGCCAATAAATCCGCGACAAAATCCGAAAAGATAGTTTTATTTAAAATGTCAAATATTCGCGTAAATCTAAGAAAGTATTAAATGATAAATTATTTAAAAGAAGCAAACATCAGGTTCATACGAAAACTTTTTCATAATTCCAAAAAAGGTAATAGAAATAAGGTAAAACTAAGTAATTTAAAATAATTTTTAAAGCAAGAAAAAATATATTTAATTAGCGCCAAATAAGTTTTACTAAGCAGTGTTGTGTTTTCATGCTGAGGCGCATCCTTATAATTACCCACATTACGTTACCGTAACATGAGAATGTTCAGGTATGGTGCATTTCAGTTTTGATTTCAGATGTATTTGTATCGTTATTGTAAATATGCTAAAGAGATACCAACTAATATTTGTGTATTTTCATGTTTATATATTTACATTTACAGAATGAATTGAATTAATAAAACCCGAAATATAGTTTCATTTAAAATATTAAATATTCAAATTCATAACATATATGTATATAAGAATATTTTTTGGAATTTTACATTTTTTATTTTATTTTTACCAAACGATGGAACCGAAAAAGCCTGAAAAATTCCGAAAAATTTAATGAAATATCTCTTAAGACTACGTTAAAAACAATAATGATCAAAATTTCTTAATTGTTTATTAAATGCAATCACACAAACAAACACAGAAGTATTCGTATCTATTTAATAGGTTAAACGACTTAAATTCATTAATCACTGAGAATTTGCTTTAGAATTAGCTCGCTCGGCTCGACTCTTACATGAAGGGAATGTATTGTCTCATGTGGTAGCTACTGTTATTCATTACTTTACACAGAAGTTGTTTGGCTTAAAATCCTTAACATAATAGGGTACTAAGGGCTCACCCTCACTTCGCTGGGCTCGTAGCCTATGTTTTATTCTGATATACGAGCTATATTATAGTAAAGTTTCATTAAAATCCATTCAGTAGTTTTTGAGTGGAAGAGTAACAAGCATCCATACATCCAGACATCCATACACACATACACAAACTTTTGCATTTATAATATTATTAGGATTACATTTTTCAATTTCGTTAAGTAAATATTCGAAAGTAGTTTTTCAAAGCACATGTGAAGTCCGCCAACCCGCACTTGGCCAGCGTGGTGGACTATGGCCTGAACCCCTTGTGTTGAAGGGAGGCCCGTGCCCAGCAGTGGGACGTAAAAAAGGCTGAATACAAGTAAATATGAAACCACTTTGTTGATTAAAACATACAAAAATTCTACAAAAAAAATAATAAAATTGACTTCAAAAGTTGAAATTAATTATTTTAATTCATTCTACATGACATTGGTGAAGTAATCTGTATTCAACTGGCACGCTTAGAAGTCATTAACAAGTAAATTGAATTGCAATAATTATATTATATTTATAATTTATAAATAATTATATTATATTTATAATTAACTGCCTCGGTGGTGTAGTGGCTAGCATGTACGGCTACACACCCGGAGGTCCTGGGTTCGAGTCCCGGGTCCGGCCAAGTTTAGTTATTGAGTCTTTCTGTTTATAAGTCTCAGTAACAGCCCGGAGTTGGGAAGTTGGCGGTGTTTAACCCCCGTGCCTCGGAGAGCACGTAAAGCCGTCGGTCCTGCGCCTTAACTCTCACCGGTCGTATCGAGTGGTCGTCCCACCGGAGTATGAGAGTGATAGGAATAGAGAGTGCACGTTGTGTCTGCGCGTACACTTGAGCACTATAATATCTCCTGCGCAGTTGGCTAGTCTCAATGAGATTGGCCGCCGTAGCCGGAATCGGCTAGGAGAACATCATATTTATAATTATTTAATATACAGTATAGTATAAAATATAAGTATAATAAACAGAAAACATATTTTCGTCAGAGAGCCTTTTTGATGGAATTTTACGAAATCTGCGATAAAATTGAAAAGGTAAATATAATAGTCTAGGGATTTATCAAATGAAAACTCCGTCAGAACCGATAGGAAAAGGATCTCATTATTGTGGGTTAAATTACCAATCTAGCAACGGAGTTTGGTTCGTTTTTCTATGACTTCACTTGTACGTAGATAAAAATATCTCTATATAATAGGTATTATAATAAAATTCTGAGTCAAATTTGTACATTAAATATTTTTTGGAAAATCTTATTGAATTAGTCATCGTTATTGACAAAGAGGCCCAATCTATAGTATTTAGATTTTTTGTCTGTCTATCTGTCTAACCACTGAACAGATTTTGATGAAATTTGGTATGATAGCTAGTTATCCGTGTCAATATATAGGATACTTTTTTCCGCGGAAAAATATCTCATCTCTGAGAAATCTAAACGTTAAAACGTAACTAGGGACGAACCCGAGCGGAACCAGGGTGAATTGCTAGTTACCTTTATTTCGTAATAATTAATTTCAAAATATTAACATGGCAATAATATAAAAGATGCATATTTTGATAAGTATAATAATATCTACATACATACTGTCTTATAATATTATATGAGCAATTCTTGTATACATATATGTATATAAATTTATTTCGTGTATCTCGGAAACGGCTCTAACAATTTGTATCAAATCTTGTATTTAGGTAAGGTTATGCTTTGTATGTTTATCTTTATAGATGCCTTTTCTAAAGAAAAACAATTAATTACAAAAAAGAGATATTATTTTAAAACTAATTATTATCAGAGCTTTTTTCTGCTCTCATACTCTAGCCCTATTTCGTGAATATATTTTGTATTTGTAGTCACAGAACGCTTTTACTCAGGAGTTTGTAGTACTTGCGTTGTCGCCAAGGGATGATAACCTAATGAACGAGCGCCTACGTCGAGTAAATCTCGTGTAAATCAGGCAGTGTTAATATTAAAGATACATTATATATTATAATAATCTGACGACGTAGATGATTAAAGATTTGTTAGTTACATAATGAATTGCTATATCTTTCATAGATAAAAACAGATTGCTTAAATAAAAAATCTTTGTAATTGTTTTGTAATCTATACATAATATAATAAAATTGTAACTAAACCGAATCTGTACATTAAATATTTATTGGAAAATCTTATTGATTGGACATTATTATCAATACAGAGGGTGAATCTATAGTTCTTAAAATCTTTGTCCGTCTGTCTTTGTCTGTCTGTCCGTCTGTTACCGCATCACGGAAAAACCACTGGAAGGATTTTGATGAAATTTGGTATGATGATAGCTGGTTATCCGGGTCAACATATAGAATACTTTTTACCGCGAGAAAATATCTCATCTCTGAGATATCGATACTTAACGTAAGAGACGAACCCGAGTGAAGCGAGGGCGAGTCGTTAGTATCATATACAATCGATATACAACACAAATAATATAAATTCGATATTGTGTTTATCAGTTGGTAATCTGATGATTGGATAGCTAAAAAAGACAAAACTATGTATGAACGTATATGTCTCATGGAGTGATGTATAGAGTAAGTACTTGTTATTCCGCTGCACTGAGGTATAGTTAGGGTATAAGCAAAACGAGCCCTTAGTAAGTAATAAATTTTAGAACGACTCCTTTAATCCATGTCGTCTGGAGCGCAATCGCCCTTCAGTTATCTAAGCCCTTCTAAGTCCTAGACTGTGGTCTAGGCAAATACTAAATGTTATTATCTTTTTAAAGCTTGTAATTAACAGTTCAAAGTAATATTGTTGATTTAAAAATAAATAATATAATTTTGAAGTAATAGTTATTAATCTTTACATATAATAAAAGTGTAACTGATCGCTGTGATCGTTGTCTGTGCAGGGAAGATATTTGAGATAAACTATTAACACCCAAAACAATGATGTATAGAATTATTGTATGTTAGTCTGTGTGTTTGTGCGCGCGAATCTCAGAAACGGCTTAACGATTTGGATGCAGTTTTCACTAATGTATTGCGGTAAGCTTCACTTAACATTTAGTATTTGTTTTATTTCAATCGGTTCATAAGTAAAAAAGTAATGACAATTTAAAAAAAAAAACTAGAGAAGAACCCGAGCGAAACGAGGGAGAGTCGCTAGTATTTAGAATATAACCGAATAATACTTGTCTCTACTAAAACACTAGTCTTTCAAAGGCTAGTTTGATTTTCTCAAACATGCAGGTTTCCTTACGACGCGACGTAGCCTTTGATTATGATAATAAAAATAAAATTCCCGCTTCACTCTACGTCATCTAGATTAAAAAAATATAGCTGTATTTCTCTCGATCAAGTGGAATCAGAGATACAAGATAATTAACTTTCTTTATATCCGCTGGGGAAACCCACGAGGCAGGGGACTGTGAGACTCCTACTCACTAAAATCCATAGCGGAACTCGCAGCGGCACAATACGGTGTTGTAGGACAATTTAATAACGAAAATATAATATTTTAATTATTTTAAAATTCTATCATATCATCATCATACACTGGCAAATACGTTAACAGCATGTAATATCATCTCATATGAAATCTATACCTAGATATCATTCCGATATTGTATCATATTTATTGACTGACATTTATGGTAAAGTACTAAATGAAAGCTCGCTATCAAAACACATCACATTGACAGCGTATATTATCTTATAAGAGTACTAGCATTGCCCGCGGCTCCACCGACGTTTATATGACCAAAACCAAATTCTTAGGTTCTATATATTAGTATACTCGTATTAGTATATTAGTTGACCCAGATAACCAGCTATTACCATACCAAATTTCTTCAAAATCCCTGCAGTGATTTTTCTGTGATGCGGTCACAGACAGACAGACAAAAATTCTAAAAACTATAGATTTGGCCTCTGTATCGATAACAATAATTATTTCAATAAAATTTTCCAAAAAATATTTCATGTACAGATTTGACTCAGAATTTTATTATATGTACGTATAGATATTTGATAAACAATCCTATCGAGAAACATCGAAAGATAACTAACATCGGAAGTCACTTGAGAAGATTAAAAGCTTATTGCGAATAAATTACATTGGTTTTAATAATTAAGAACATACAGTAGTTTTATACTTTCATTATCTATTGAATTTAACACAAGCCCGAATTATTTTAGCAGTTCAATTTATGAAAATCAGAACAGATATTTTTTTATTTTTTATTATATTATACATATATGTATATGTATAATATAATAAAAACTACATGAAATATACCACGCTGTACCACATATTATATGGTACGTTGATTCTACTTTAATAACATAAAAGTAAGTTCCAGATAATAAATAGGACCTAGTTAAAACTTTTTGAATTAGTTCCTATAGCAGTTTATCTCTATTCGAATCACTTGCTGCGTGAAGTCGAGCCATTTCAAAGGATTTTGTTATATAACTCAGTAATTTAGATATAATATACAATTTAAAAGGTTTTAAAAATATTTACTTGATACTGTAAATGAGAAAGGTGTGTTTGTGTGTTCTTGATCTTGATTTCTTAGATTAATGATAAGATTTGTGGTTGCTATTTTATAAATATTTAAAATTATATAATAATTTTATTTTTTGGGGTATCTAAGTTTGTACCAAAACCATTAAAATAATTTTTTTCTTAGTATATTAATACGGTAACACCCCACAACACCCCATAACATCAGAATTAAGAAGTTAGATCCATTTAATGGTAACTTTATTACTTCTTCTTTGATTAAAAGATTTTTAGTATTCAGACAGTATTACAACTAATGACTTTAAATCTAAAGACTATTGCTTTAATAAATAATTAATAATCTTTAATAATATATAAACCTTTGCTTCAGGTCCACAAAATTAATTTAAAAGCACTAGATCTTAAACTGGACCTTAAACTTGTTCAAGTCGAACAAGCCCCTACGCCATCAGAAGTTAATAGTTGAAAATATCGAGTAAACATAAACATTCATAATTATAAATATGTATATAATATTAATGTGTACTTTGTATGTTTAAGTTCTTCACACCGAAACGGCTGGACGAATTTGGATTAAATTTCTTATATAGATAGGCTATGACCTGGAATAACACAAAGGTTACTGCTTGACATAGACCCTAGGTCTCTTGGGACATGCCCGAGCGAGGCTAACACGTTACGTATACTAATATTATATTGTCATTGAAAGAAAAGTTTAAAGTGACTCTTTATTGATCAACAATTGGAAGATAAAAATACACTTACCAAAACTTAACATTACGAAAGCAAATGTTACACGTGGAGCAAAATAAAAGCTTTTAATAAAAATAAATCCACCACACAATAAGAAAAACGTACCAAAATATCTTTCGGCCTGACGTGATTCGGGTGAGGCATGGTACTGTACTATACAAGTAAAAAGCACTTAATTTTGAAAGTCTTATGACCTGAGTGGAGCAGGGGCGGGTCACTAGTCCCAATATTTCTTGTAACGCTCTATTCACCGCATTCAGTTTCCGACAGACTCGACCTAATTCCACGACACCGTGTAATTTCCTGTGTATAGACCGTGATATCTTTTTGTGTCTTTTATTCACGGACTGTATTGCGTATAGCTGTAATGATGGGGGGATGTCACGGAAAATTTTGTTTATTTCCATCGTGTTAATAGTTATTTGTAAATGTAAATTGCTAGTTTTAACCCGTGACATCGCTCGTAATGTGTTAATGAAAAGTACCCAGTGTGCTTGGCCCGGTCATAAGCTTTCTCCAGCGCGCCCTTCCGCAAGTGCCAAGTGCTTTTAATCCGAAGTATTAATCTTGTAGAAACCATATTAAATAAAACACGATTATATAAAATAGGATTTATTTTTAATTTTTTGTTCCAGAAGTTTCGAATGTTTACCAGCAATCATGGTCACGGGAGAGAAGCATTCAAATTTTGGTAAATAAAATAAACAAAATTATCTGAATACACAAAATATATTATACAAGAGAAAATGTGGACAAAAAACTTTAAACATCGAGATTAACTTTAAGGCAGTAAAAAGCGATAAATAAATAGAATATTTTTTCATTCATAATAGGTATCTTATCAGATAAATTGACATAATATTTAAAAACAAGACCTTGATATTATATTTGAACAGATTTTTGTTTACCAAAAGTCCATTAGCCAAGAGTAAACATAAATTAATAAAGTGATATCTTGATCCAATGTTCCAGCAACGGAACAAAATTTTTTTGAGAATACTTTATGAACATTCTCATATATTAATTTACTATTCTGTTTGTTGGAGGTCAGTTTCTGTTCGTAACGTATACATTACTGTACCATTCATCCCTGATGCATCACCTTGATGAGCGAAAGTCTCTAGCACTACCAAGGGTATCATAAAGTTAAAAAAAAACTTTATTCATCAACAAAATGTTAAAAAATTACAAACAAGATTGAAAACGCCTTTCACGTGTAAAAAACACCTGTAGCAGACAATCTCGCTCTTACATAGTTACATCACAAGTATGTTGTTATAGCAAATTAAAACAAACTTATATGTGGAAGACAAATATTATACGACTAGCGAATTACCCTCGCTTTGCTTGGATGCGACCCTGAGTGTATGGCAGTAGCCTATGTGTTCCTCCAGGCCATCTCCTCAGGTGTTTTTTCTATCTATGTTCGAAATTACATCCAAATCCGTACAGCCATTTAGATGTCTTTATGCGAATTTATGCATAAATTACATAAATAAAATCGAAGCATTTTGCTATTTGAATAGAAATTGATAAATCTCCGCTGCGCTGTGATCACGTGGGCGGTCTTAATGATGGATGATCCTTTGGTGATTAATGAACTCTTCAACAGTGCTTTCCGATAACAATTTTTTCTTCATATCATAATACTCTAACTAAAGATTAGTGTTTGTTTTTTCTACATGTTACTACTGGAATATGTTTCGTACGAGTTTTTACTCGCGATTTCACTTTACTATCCAAGTTTCCAAATGTGTTCAATTCGAATAAGCTCATTCATACGCAAAATTTTACACAGGCGCGTGTAAAAATGCTATATCTAACAGTTTTGAAATATATGATATAGTGTCAAAAGAAAACCGCTTGATATATAAAAAAATAATACAACATCTTGATCATAAGTAATTTGTAAAAGCTCTAATTGGTTGAGAACCAAATAGCATACCCTCTTTCCATCCACAATCATTAGCAAAGACAATATAAGTATTACCGCTAACAATAATCAAACACGCGACCTCTTGCATAGTAAACAGTAAAAATTCTACACGATTCATATGCATGATATAACAATCTTATAAAGTACTTGAGCCTCATCAAGGATCCTCCGCAGCGTGATTTGCAAATTGATCTTGCTCTCTTACTTATAAGGTACATCATCAATTTAATTCATCTCATTAACTCTCAACCTGAATAAACTCACTGCTAACAGAATTTTTAGTATAAAAATTACAAGCTAAATACCATAGTCTTGTACAGTATATAAAAATTTATATCAAAATGGATCTTTAACAATTATGCTTATGGAAATACCTGTAAAGTATGTATAGTACAGTTTGTCTCCATAACCCTTTTTCTTTACAGATAGTTTCGAAATAACTTCGATCCTTGAAAGTGCTTGGTTGGTAGTATTCAGCTCTTTTAACATCCCACTGCTGGGCACGGGCCTCCCTTCAATACGGGGGGGATCAAGCTGTAGTAGGCTTGATAAACATATGCACTGTAAAATTTTCTAAAATCGATTTGGTACATTCCAAAATTCTTCCCCCAATACAAACAAACGAATGCTATTTTATGCTTATATATAAAGTTGTGAAAATAAGATATAGAGTATGTGAAATGACGAATAAATATTTAATTTTTGTTATATAAATATAGTTTTTTTTTTATAGAAAACCCTTTAGCGTTGGAACCCGCTTAACTGTATACAGTTAACTATTACATTCGTGACTGCGCGCCGTGAAATGGCAATTTAATGTTTTTGCAACGTAGCGTATCTAGTAAATTACTAAGAATTTCTCTTTTTATACCTTCCTATATACGAGGCTTTGTTTAGCACTCGCTTGAATATCCAGATATTAGTACGTTTTAATACACAAACAAGGCAGTGGTAGTCCAGTGGCACCGCGCCCGCTTGGGAAACCGAGTGAAACGAGTTCAAATCCCGGGTCTCGCACCTCTGATATTTTCATGTGCGAATCATTTCCAACATGATTACCACTTTTCTTACGGTGGAGAAAAACGTGAGTAAACCTGCATGTCTGAGAGAACTTTACAAGTTTACGAAAGTCATGTGCAATCCGCCAACGCGTACTTGGCCAGCGTGGTGGACTATGACCTGATCCCCCTTGTGTTGAAGGGAGGCTCGTGCCCCGCAGTGGCATGTAAAAAAGGCTGAATACAATCTCTGGAACTTCTAGTCCGATTTAATTATATTGAAAAACTATTTCCATTTTTTAATTATAATTTGTTAAGGAAGATTATAAGGCTATAATATAAAAACAAGCTACAACCCTTAAGGGTGAAGAAATACGCTACGAGGGCGGAACCGCGGGCAAACGTTAGCAGATTATAAATAAGATAAAATCTGGTTTTCTCAGATATCTTTTAATGAAATTTTCTTTAAATATTTATTTTAGTTATATAAGCTTTAAATAGGTTTTTCTCGACGAGTATCAGCTTACCTGTCTGAGTGGACAAGGGTACCAATTACACATGGCTTCAAGCAGATAGCCTTCATTCTACTTTCGTAATATATTTTATATAATTTAAACTATAAATCAATATTAATAAGTTTTTGCTCAATAGATACAGAATATGTATAGGTATGTTAAAATATATTTTTGCTCAATTAATGTTTTTCTTTTTTTCTTTTTTTCTTCATCACTACTGCCGAGTTTTAATAATGAAGTGTATTTATCGCAAGTATCGAATATGTCGGTAAATAAAAGGAAAGGTTGAAATACTCATTGGAAACTTTTCGGTATAACCATTGTTTTGCTATCATATTTTCTGGTACGCTATCTTCATGTTACATTTTTGTACATACAATTCATACATTTTTACTATGTTCAATTGTGGTCCTAGATATTCTCGTTAGTTAGTTTGTCGTCAAAACTGTAGCGGCAAAACAATGTACCTAACTGCCGTCATACCGTAAAATGCATTTTAAATAATGGCAGCAGTTTAGAATAGGGGACGTGGCCCCTGGCGGAGTAGGTGGTGTTTCTGGATAGGGGACGTGATAGGGAGTCGAAATGTTAAATAAAAAATTTTCCGGAAACGTATGAGTAAAAAGTTATTGAGACTTAAAGTTACAACATTTCCATACATTATTTTGACATTACTACCATTTAGACACTTGGAGTCAAAACGTCACTTTCAATTGTCAAAATGATCTCCAAATGATTGTCTTTATTTGTACTTTACGTGAAATTCGAATTTTCTAGTTTTCTAGTCATTTATGGCACTCGCCGGCCGCTACCGCGGCACGCTCGCTTCGCTCGCTCGGCTCGTGCGTTGTGGCAACTGTTCTAACCTAACCTAACCAAGATATGACGAATAATAAATAAATAATCCTAACTGTTCTAACCTAACCTAACCAAGATATGCCGAATAATAAATAAATAATCTTAAATGTTCTAACCTAACCTAACCAAGATATGACGAATAATAAATAAATAATGTATTTATGAAGTGAAAATAATATTTTTCTTTTTATTTATTTATTAATATTACCAACAGAAAAAGCAAAAATAATCAAATATAATCTGTTGTCATTTAAGCGGTAATATAAAACAAAGTGACAGTTTTGCTTTTGTCAAAATGTAAGATCATTTTGTTTGTGTTGTGAAATTATTAAAATATTAAATACAATAAAGCATTAATTGTTGTGAAAATATGTATTGTACATAAAAAAGGATGCGTACTATTCGTTAAAGGTATGTTTATCTGTTGTAATCACTTATTTAGGTAAAGAAATGTATGGAAATGTGTTAGATATGTTATAACTTTAAGTCTCAATAACTTTTTACTCGTACGTTTCCGGTAAATTTTTTATTTAACATTTCTACTCCCTATCACGTCCTCTATCCAGAAATACCACCCACTCCGCCAGGGGCCACGTCCCCTATTCTAAACTTGTGCCTAAATAATTGTGGGATTTTAATGTATGATCACTTAAAACCTTGTGCTTTGGAATGTTTCTCAGCAATACATTAAAATACAATTTTGGAAACTAATTCATGGTTGACTTTGCTACAAACAGTGTGACGCCATTATAGAAAAGGCCACATTCAATAGTATACTGTAAAAAACACAAATTCGTAAAAAACGGAGTTACAGTGTTATGCTTTTCAGGTACAGAATTATTCTATTAAATGTCAAAAATAAAAAAGAAATAAAAAAGTTAAAAGTAAATTTGAAATGAATCAAAAAGTATTTATGTAATAAATATAATCTTATGAAAAGCACTCGCATATGAAGTGGTTTTCTTTACATATATATTAGTATGATAAGTAATATATACTCGTACATATATACCTGTGTATTAAAGAGGGTGGTCTCTCAATAATGACAAGATCGTATCAGCTTTGTTCTTCTATTTAATATGAAGCAAGAATTTCGAATT